GTTCGTATGTGCGTATCAGCTCAGCCATGACAATCGCATTCTTTCGAGACATTTTTATTTCCAATCAATCATCAAATTTGATCAAATGCTTTGGGTGCTCCAGAGATTCCGGGCGGTTTTGATGATCAGAACAGCCCGAGGAGTCAGAGATGACAAGAGCTCCGTGCAAAGAAGAATGCGCAAGTGTGTATGCATCCCTGTGCGTTGTTATTGGGAAAGTGTTCTATCGTCAATAAGTCGCTTTCTTCACTTTCTCGAGCAAATGGTAAATTGGATAAATTAATTCAACAATGAAGACAATCAGGACGGAACAGAAAATATCTTGAGCGGATTGCTAACGACTGGTGTCATTCAGCTCTGTTCGAAATGCACGGGTATTGAGGCTTACTCATGAAATTTATACCTAGGCCCAACCAGGAAACCTCCGCTGGAATAAGTCTTTTTCGCAGCACGATGCCTTGTGAGAGCAATTCGTTCGCATAAAAATTCTTTACAACTTGGAATCTAATCCAAACAATACAAACTGGTTTTTGACTTGGAAACACATGGGACCAAACTCCTGCTAAACTTTCAGCTGATCTCCATCAGGATTTGCCATGATTTTAGTGTTACTTCCAGCCACATGCAGATAAAAAAACAGTCCACGTAGGAGACAAAGTGGCACATCCGTGGTCATCAGTATATACTACGGTCTTTCAAAAAACCCGTCTTATAGAGAAACGATATGATCAATAACAAGATAAATGTTTCGGTTGAATTCAAATGCAAATATTTATTATGGGTAAATTACAAAGCTGATGCTTATTGAATCCCATAGGATCTGTACACACACTGGGTTCGGTTGATAATCCAACGGAATAGCCAATTATGATGTTCACTCACGGGTACGGAACAGAGTTTGGTGTGGTTCAATGCTTCATCCGGTCGTGACTTGTTGGTGCACAAACTATTTGAAGTGGAAAAAAGTTCCAGGCAGTACAAACTCTGAGGCTGAAAGAATGACACCTGCAGTCTAGCCGACATTTTTGGAGCAGAATTTTAAATGGATGCCCTCGGAGTGAATCATTCCTGGATAGGATTAGGCGAGCGCTACACGAGTGGTTAGTGCATATCGGGCACAGTGATTTCTTATCCATGCAACTGAAGGACCAAATGACGCAACAATAAAGGTCACGTCGTGACCTGAGAACGGACGGAAACTGCAATCGGGACGAAAGGACAACTTCCTCCTCCCGTCCCACCCTCACCCACTCGCAGCAGTTCAACGGCGGACCGAGTCGCACACAGTGAGAACAGGGGACGAAAATAGTCGGTGGAGAAGAACGCATATATAAGTGAACGGGTACAGGCAGAACACTGCCACCTCACAAGCACTGATGATGTCACCTCGGCTGGTGATGAAACGTTTGCAAACAAATTGCCAAGCTCGACGAACAGGCGAAATGGAATTCAAAATTCTTTATTGGAGAAAAAAGATAACTCACCGCTTAATAAGGCAATACCCAACCTGGTGATCTATTACTGTACCGGTGCACGTCAGGAAAAGCCAGCGACGGTAATGTTCAGCCCGACGATAACCCCACTGCTATCAAGTATCTATTCGATGCATTGCACATACACATCATACAGATTGCTACACACATGGTAAGTGTATCAGCTTGAGTTACGACAAGCGCATCGAGCGACTGCTGGGTTTACGGCAAACATCCTTCATTGTGACGTCCGCGTAGATGTATCTTGCCGCATTTCAGTTAGGTGCATGAAGACTCGGTAATTGTGTTCGGAGTAATGGTGCAGTTCAGCGCAACAAACGGAATACTGAGGTACTGGAATATTGAGCTGTTGCGCTGGGGCAATGATCCGTGCGCTTCACTTACACAGATGAGTCTGATATGCGCTTTCAAATCGCTTGTGTCAGTGTGCGACCTTCGTTGCGAATGGTAGCGGGTTGGGAACAGCTGTATCCAAGTTGTTCGTTCATTTTAGATTTCCTACTAATATAACGCGGTAAAACTGGATATTAAAGACTGCCAGGAGATAAAAAGAGAAACGGAAGTTAAGTTACCCCAGCTGCTTCTGAACACTCGACTTTTGGACGGAAGCACAATGATGTACACCACTTTGCGATCGCCGAATAACTTTATCAGTAGGATATCAGTTTTACGGCTACAGATATCACCTATTCGCTTTCCAGGGTTCTGGGACTCGTATCACGGCAACTCATAATGGGAGCCTAGGGAAGGATTTCCTTGTAGGTACTGAGGTCACGTCCTTCGTCAGATTTTTTTATTTAATAAACAAGTGTGTTCTAGGTGGTATGCAAATGAAATATAGAAAAACAGAACTAACTAAAGTCAAATTAGAAACTGAAACACGGTGTTGCTGTTTTAGACTCACCATGACATAAAATGTGGCATAACCATCTACGAGGGTGTTGGTCTCGTATATTTCCAACTTCTTGCTGGCGGTGGGTGACAGTCTGTGCAGCACTTTCTTCAACAAACGGAGTACCGGGTCAGAGGGTTCTGCATCGGATTTTGATTTGTCCTTCTTTTCCCGCATCTCGTCTGATGACGCTTCTGTGGCAGTATTTTGCTTCCGCGCAGAGTCGCGCATTGCTGCGGCACCTCGGATCAGAAGTACGTTGAACTTGCCTCTGGTTAACAATCCACGAAAAGTTGTCATCAATTCCATCTCGGTGTCACGCGCTTGCTCAACTTCGCGCACATGTACTGCGATACGCTTGAGTCGGAGCGAAAGCCGTCGTAACCCCAAAACTAGCAAACGCAACAGCTCGTTTTCAACTGGGCATTGTGCATTCGGTCGTACAAGTTTTCCGCGATATCTGACGAGTTCTTTGAGTTCACTGAAGTCCCACACACTTGATGGGATATGCGTGACTGGGAATTAGGACAGAAAACACAGATATCATTCAACTAATGACAGAAATGATGAGGCTGACGAATAACATTACGTATATTGTTTAATTAAGATAAACGGATAGTACCGGGGAGGACCTAATAATCTCCCCGATATTCGAGGGGTCTAAACGCACGGCAAGTTCTACCGTGGCCAATCCACGCCTCATTTTCCAATTCGCTCAGATCTGCCCTCTTCCTTGGCGTCAAAAACCTAGGAATGCTTTTTTTATTAGACATCTACCGCGATTGTGATTCCTATCTCACGAGAATATGTGGCTTTTACGTGTAAGTCTGTTTGTTCATCGGTCAAATATCTTGTGTCCCACAAAAAGAAAAACCTCTGTTATGTTCTGTGCGACCATAAGAGGAAATAACAGCCACCCTTAATTGATTGCGATCCCGTACCCCATAGATTACTTTTTCTTGATTTCAACCTTGAACATTTGGAGCTCCGACAACCGCCTTATCTTCATAACTTCAGAAACCTATCTTTTGCCCCTTTAATTTGAACACCTTTCTTTTATCACACACTTAAACCTACCTACTATCTTCGTTTGTTCCACAAACTCGTACGCCATTGTGGGTTTCAATTTTCAGTCCTCTTTCTCCTGAATCGCATATATTTTCTCTCCTGTTTCCTACGCAGTGTGCAAGATTGGTTACATTCTCCGAGTTGGACGCTTCTTCAATTCATTTATCTACACTTGTGCAAAGTCCAAATTCCTTGTAACGTTGAATGTGTTTGTTTGTAAGTTGGTGTTTTTGGTGTTTCCTCCTGCTCGGAACGCATAGATAAGGATTGCAATGCACTGAGAGAATATTTATTCATATTGGCGGAAAACCCGATGAAATGGGGAAAGTACTAATGGCGACTCACCAGCAGGATTTAAGAGTAAATTGTACAACTCCTCAAAGCTGGTCATGGCTAGCTGAAGATCAGTGATTTGGTACACGTGAGTAACTGCATATCCACGCGTCTCGTTCACTTTGGTTTCCAGTGCATCCCCTAACATCTAGAAGGATTTATGCAGTGAATGCACAATTCAAAATGAATTAGGATGATAAAGATGTCAGGAAAATGATACGATGAAGACCATCTAATTCATGATTGGGATCACTGGGTATTTGCCTATGAAATACGAAAACGATGAGTAGTTTTGCGGGTTATTAATGACAGCAAACATTGATTTCTATTGGCAGACATGCACAATCCGTCAAATGAGGTGATGCATGAATCACAGTTCTTAAAATGAAGTGGAATATAAAACGTTTCACAGGGATGTGGGCAAAAAGCTGCGTATTAGCTGCCGCGACGGAACGAAAAGGGGGCAGGAAGGAGGGCCCCAGCACACAACGTGTGAACTGAAAGATAAGAAAATAAAGTGATGATATATGGCCCCAGGCTTGTCTTCTTTCATAGCGATTGAAACGCTTTAGGGAACTAAGGTGAGACAAATTTCGGATACACATATCTACGGGGCACAGATGAACTGGATGAATTTCATGGAAACAGGAAAATATCCCTTGACAAACCAGCGCATCTTCGACTATAAAGGAAGTGAGCACTGGAGTGGCTAACCGAAGAAAGGCTTGATGGAATACAGGGATTATAGGGGAAAAATTAATATTACGCTCAAAATGGTTTCTGCCGTGTAATATTGTATCATTTGTATTTGATTGAACCTCATTTTCCTGTCCTTTTGGACGTTCAATTCAACTTCGTTTCTTGGTCACTACTGTGTAGTAAGTGGTGCAAAATACAGAACGATTTTCAGATAACCCTACTCAGAAACCGAGTGATTGTCAGCAGTCAGTTCAAATAAAGTTGTTCATCGTCGCACACATGTCGGCTTGACCTTTTTCTCATCTACGGGTACACCTCGTTTGTTTAACTGGCAGTGGATAGGGTAAAACAATGAATCTGAAGCTTTTACTGTAATAAATTTGAAAAGACAAGTCAGTATAGCAAAACTGCACGATTCGTCTTGTCCAAAACCCTGTATAAAGATTGTGTTTATCTGCACAAGGCCCTGTTTCAAATTCAGCGAAAGGATAAAGTCATCGCAGGATTCAATAAAATCTAGTCTATTTAGCTCGCAGGGTCATGGAGGCACGCAGACTGCCACAGCCTATCGAAGTGCAGTCTCGTCGTGATACAATGG